CAAAACTTTACCAGACGAATTAACACTAACTCAACAATAAAAATTAGTTAAACAATTTAGATATTTTGAAATTAAAAATAATTATTTGTACAAATATGTTTGACAAAAGCTTCTTAGAGTTATTCGATCACATGAGATGAAAGCTATACTTTATATAATGTATAATGATCCAACTGCTAAACATTTTGCAGTAGATATAATGTTTGATAAAATTAAAGAACAATATTATTGGCTACAGCTATATGAAAATATTAGAGAATATGTTCATTCTTGCAATAGCTGTCAAAGAAGAGGAAAACCAAAAAAACACGAAAAGCTACATCCTATACCAGTCTAAGCACCTTTGTATCAAATTAGTATAGACTTTATTAAACCTTTACCTATAATGTCAAATGGAAATAAACATATCATTATAGCTATCGATTATTTAACTAAGTGGTCTGAAGCTAAAGCTGTTCCTGAAGCTACTGCAGAACAGATTGCTTTATTTATCTATAAATACATAATCTGTCGTCACGGATGTCCTGCAAAAATCCTTTCTGATAGAGGAACCCATTTTAATAATCAAATGATCAAAGAATTGATGGATAAGTTCAAAATTAAACATCTTCTATTGACACCTTACCATCCCAAACAAATAGTTTAATGGTACATTTTAACTGTATTTTGTGTGAATCTTTAGCAAAAACAGCACAAGATCTAGATAACTGGGATCTACAAATTGCATCAATCTTATTTGCATATTGTATAAGCAAACATTCTATTACAAAAATATCCCCTTTCTATTTCATATATGGGAGAGATGTAACATTACCCTGGACAATCTTGATGATCAAAATGTCACATTATTCAAACATTTACAAGATTTGGTTAATCAATTGCCTCAAACTAGAGAAATTGCAAGAAATCATATTGCAATAGTCTAACAAAAGCAAAAGAATCGTCATGATAGACAAATTAATCATCTTTTTCAATTTGAAATTAGAGATAAAGTTCTCTACTATGATGTGGCTAAAGATAAGCAATGGTCTGACAAACTAAATCCAAAATAAAAAGGCCCTTACTATATTCATCAAGTTTTAATGAATGGATTGTATAAGATAAGAGAAATAGATGGAAAAGTGCTATATATACTTGTAAATGGAAATCTATTAAAATCTTATCATAATCGTCAAAATTGGGAGCCTCAGATTGTTATATAAAGGATCGAAATCCTTTGAAAATTTTTCCAAAATTTTCCAATATGATGACCTTATTTCAAGAAGTTAAGGATGATTTAATGACTGTTAATATCTTAACGGATACTAATATTCCCCCACCTTATATAGAGACTAACTTAACTGCGCAAAAAGTCAAAACAACTTATAGAGCTTTATTATGAGCTACCAGGTTGAAAAATAGAGTATTAGCCTTAGCTAATGCATTTTATTTTGGATAAGTAATGGAAACAGAAACTTCAAGTCCAGCCGAACGAACTCAATTTAGGAACCAAATGACCTTATACTATCGGCAGACCTCAAAAAGGACTTATTATTTTTTTGAAACTCTGGAAATTGCACAAATCAGATGTACTAGGAAAATAACTTTCAGGACGATCTATAATCTTAAATCCTAGGAATTCAAGGACTTGGTTGACGAAGCCTATAAAATTTTTGCAGGAGCTGCAAATTTAAAGAAAGAAATTGATACTGAAACTGGTAAAAATTGATGAACCTGTCAAATATGATATATATACCAGATCTGCCAAATCTGCCATATCTGTCAAATAGGATACACATATTATTTATTATATTTCTATTATTTATATCATTATTATCATTTATATCATATCTAATATAATTAGCATATCTATTAGCTCTGTTATTATTGTCAGTAGTATCATATTTATCATAGATTTTCTTAATTATAATTTTCCTATATAAAAGGTATGAAAATGTCTTAGAAAAAGGACAGATTTCATACAGATTCCAACAAGTTCTTAACATTGTATTTAAAATACATTTAATAACAATAATAAATACTCTTAACATTTAGCAAACATAAAACTTATAATTTATTTCTTGTTAACTAAATAAACTTTCTAATAAACAGTGTGTCAAATTAATTAGATTTAAGTCATAGCTATTGCCTCTCTGACTTCAAATCATAGTTAATTTATTCGACAGAAAGAGTAACGTTAATAATATATAAAATAAAAATCAATTGAAAAATTCTATTATATTAAAGTTTTTCTTTATATTTAATATTAAAATTTTTAAATAATTGAATGATTAGAATTATTGTAAGATAAATGTTATTTTATAAAATCTTTTTTAATCATATTTTTTAGATATCTTTTAAAAGAATTATATATAAACATTATTAAATTTTTTTATGTTCTATTTTTACTCTTATATTATTAAAATAATCTATATATTTTATTAAACTAATACAGACCTTAGCGAAAGTAATGGCACTTAATTTTTTAATAATTTGTGCGCAATTTTATAATAAAAAATCAAAAAAATTTTATTTTCTGAAAGACCGACCAAAATTACATATATTTTATTAATTAATTAATATTTGGTATGGCCTCTTTCTGTGTCAATACATGCTTTAATGCGACTTGACATACTATTAATGCAGTTAACAATTGCGATGTTTTCAATATCATCCCATTCCTTCCTAATTAAATTTAAAAAAATTTCTTTTGAGATTTTTTCTTTTGTGCCACCATTTTCTTGACCTCTTTCTTAACATTTTTCTTTAAAATAGCCCAAACATTCTCAATAGGATTAAGGTCAGGGCTATAGAAAGGCCAAGAAAGAACCTGACCCAGAAGGTGAGTTTTCAAGTCACCTTGAACATCACGGAAAGTATGTTTTAGGTCATTATCTTACTGAAAGACCCATCGGTTACCATGTATTACACTTGCATTATCATATAAATATTCATTCAAAATTTGACGGTATAAATGACGATCCAAATTTTCAGTGAACATGTGTATGCTAATTTTTCCCTTAACGCTAATTGCACCCTAAATATGAACTTTAAATGGGTGTTTTACCATCAGAGCAATAGGTTTTTTGTCACGTGACCATGCTGGAAGGGTATTACAGAATATTTGAAGTGTAGTTTCATCAGAAAATACCACCTTTTTCCAATTATAATTCACGTGATTATGGGCCCAAGACAACCGATTCTCTTTTGCTTTTTGTGTCAAAAGAGGAACTTTTCTGGGATGAACAGATACAAATCTAAGATTTTTTAGCTCACGACGAATGGTCCATTCACTAACTTCAAGCTCTGGATTTTTTTCTTTAAGTTGGGTCTTCATTTCACTTGCTGTAGTGAAATAATTATGCTTGACGATTATTCTAATTTAGCGGCATTTTTTAGAAGTCAATTTTTGTGGTCAACCAGACTGATAACCTATAGTAATCTTACTAATTTTCTTTAATAAACTAACATAATGATAACAGGAACATAAGGGAACACCTGTTTTTTGTGAAATTTCTTTTGCATTTCAGATTTTTCGTTGCCAAAGAAGGTTAACAGCATTTCAGTTTCTTTCAAGAGTGGTTAATACCATTTTAAATGAAAAACATAAAGAAATTCATTTTTTCTACAACTTTTTTTTGTTTGTTTATTAAATATTATTTATAAAGAACACTCTAAAAATACTGGAAAATTTTAAAGTGAAAAATGAATATGCTATAACTCAAAAAACAAGCAGCACTTATAGTACCATTACTTTCGCCAGTGACTGTAGATCTTACAGATGTATCTCCTTAGGTTGTCTTAATGTTGGCAAATTTCAAGACTATTTTCCTTTTTGAAGTGACCTAGATCACTTTGTATATTATCACGTGATAGATTTTATAGTAAAATCATCACATAATTAGGTCATTTTAAGGTCACTTTAAGGTTATTTGCCAACACTAAGTTGTTTAGATATACCATTATAATCATCAAATCTATTAATTAAGAAATTTCATTTTATGTTCATTCATCTAACTTTTCTAGTTTTTCTGACTCTAAAACTCATTTTTTTTTACCATTACTAACAAACCTTAGGATCCAGTTATTTCTGCGATCCATTTCCTGCTATTTTCCTGATTATTTTTTCATATTTTTTTTGCATTTCTGATGCCAAGCTTATGCTTTCCCTTCTAAATTGTTAGAAAAGGAACCTTGTCAAATACATTAAGCAAGTTACATTTTTAAAGAAAAATTACCTGATGACAGTTATCACATCTATATTACTAAAGGCTTGACTAAGGATTGGATTCTATATATGACAATTAAACATGCCTCAAATTTAGCCTTTTTCAAACTTTTATTTTCAATTTCTCTTAATCTACAAAAATAAATTTAATTAATTTAATACATATATGCGCAAGCCATTCATATAAACAAAAATACTTACAATGAATATGACATAAATGATGTAATCTTTGTTTATTTATTTCACGATTATAATTATAATCAAACATCATTTCTTTTATAATCTTTTAAATATCTTTCAATGATAACTATATCAGAAAAAAAGACTAATGACTTGTGATATATTTTTGTCAGTAGCATGTAAATTACCTTGTCAAGGAACTGCATTAGAAATTCATTTATTTTGTCTGAAATATCAGACACCTGTGGATTGGATGTAGAATTGATTTTATCACATTCTTTCTTACTGAAATATTGTTTAATTATCTTATCATTGATATATAGAATGAAAGAATGAGTAGCGCTAGGAGATAAAAACTTTTAATTTAGTAAATCATCTTACATAGCAGATTAATAAAGTATATAAATACTAAACTGCTCAAATTTTATTTTTTTTCTAAATTGAATAATTCTTTTTTGATATATCTTTCCATTGAGAGTTTTCATATTCTCTCTTTTTTCATGTTATTATATGTTTGTTCAATAATCTGTTAGTATTTCTTTTTTAGCATAAATAGTTCAGTTTAAATGGAAATTCTCATTATTGTCTAAAAAAAATCTAAAAGCTAAAAATTCTAATGAATATTTATTTTATTATCATTTGCTTCTTTATTATTGGCTGTCTTCACCTCCTCTTCATCATTTGTCTCTTTTACAAAACAGATAAAGTGAGAATAATAAACATTTATAGTTAATAATATCTACTAGGAGTAATTATTTCATGATCTAGTATATCTAAATTACTTATTTCCAAATCTTCTTCATTTTCTGAAACATCAATTTCTGGTTGTGCATAAGTCTAGAAAGTATAAAAAAACAACTTTTTTCATGTTAAATACTAACATAAATACAATTTACCTGGAATTGAGAAGACATGAAAGGGAAAGGACCTGTGGTCTCACTAGAAGATTTATAAAAGCTAGTAAATTTATTAAATAAGTACTATATAGTCCTAAAAATAAGCATCTTATAATACGCTCTTTTTATAGAATTTATTTATTTGTCACATAAAATTAAAGCTCTGAAC